TACAGTATGAGCCAATCAGTGGCAGTAATGACAGAGCATGTGCTGTTACGCAAAAACCGCGATAGAGTGAAGCCGTGGAAGTCGAAGCGCGAAGTGGCGAGGGTTCACTGTACTCTGGTCGGGCTACATGTAGGCAGTGGCTTCCTGGGGGTGGCTTTTGAAACACAGTGATGACTTTCCAACCCCCACAGCAAGTACCCTCCTCCCATATAGGCCACTAAGCCCCAACCCTCACAATTCCTGGCGCACTCCTTTGTTTTGCTTTCAAAAGCCTGTGTCCTCTGGGAGAGGGGTGCCCAGACTGACACTCCCTCACCCTTCTGGGAGCCTGTGTGGGTCTGCAGGCCACTCCTGGGGCACTCCTGAGTGACTAATCATGGCTCCTCTGCTTCGTCCTCACAGGCTACAAGGAGCAGGGCATCCCGCAGCAGCTGTGAGCCACACTGGAGCTGCCGGCAGCGCAGCCCTGGGCAGCTGCTCGGAGCAGCCGTGGGCACAAGGACCTTTGCATTTTCTCTTCTGCTGTTTCCCAGGCTTGGGGGTGGGGGGTGGGGAGAGGGATATTTAAAAATATATTATTTATTTTGAAAATGCACCTGCTTTTCTCAACAGGCTCTGGGGGCTGCCAGCTCTTCCTCCAGCTCGAGAAGGCTCGGTAGGCTCTGCAGCCCTGGGGAGTGGAGTGAAGGCAGCCAGGAAAGAGGCAGAGGGCCTGGGCCGCCCCTGGCTGCTGAGAGGCCAGCTCCGGGTTTCTGTGGCACACTGTCCACTGGGAGGGCTGCTGGGCCTGGCCAGGGCGATTCCAGGGTGGCCTAGGGTTTGGAAGCAGGCAGGACAGAGGCAGGCGCTTGCTTTGGGTCCCTAGCCCTGCTTTCCAACCTAACATTGCCGTGAGCGGCTCCCCTTTGGGCAGCACCAGGACAGGGTCAAGGATAGACAGACGCCACCCCCACCTCGAGAAGAAGAAAGCCCACAGGGTCCCCCGGCCCTGCCCTCCCTACTACACCCCCGAAATCTACAAAACTCGCTGTGTTCACTCCCTGGTGACTCTGGCCCTAGAGTGGAAATGCTAGAATCATCAATGTTCATACCACAATGAGGGCTGCGCTGGCCGAGACTGGCCACTGTACACTTCACATACTCCCAGTCCCGGGCCTTCTTCTGAAATGGGTGGGAGCCGCTGTGGTTCTGAATTCAGAAAGTTTGCATTTGAGAAAGGTGATAGGATCTGATTACCATACCCAAAGCTCATGGAATTGAAATTAAATTAATGAATGTTTTCCCACAATGTTTGGAAGCCTGCTCATCTTTCATCACATCCCAGCAGAGTCTAGAATGGTTCCCATGACCAAGAACATTGCTGCTGCTGCTGCTACGAAACATGTGATTGGGGTCAATAAAAGCTGTAAATAGTGCGGGTCAGGGGATGCAACTGAATACCATGGGGAGGGGGGAGGGGGGCAGAACTTGCTCTTTCAGACCTTTTGAGATTTCAGGATTGTACAAGAAAAAAAAATTGTATGGGATTGTGGACCGTGATCTGAAAACCCTCCTTCAAAGAGCTGCGCTGGAAAGTGACATTCTTCATGCTGCCCCAGGGTTCCTCCTCCTGCAAAGGGACCACGAGTCTCCTGAAGGGCTGTGACAGGCACACCCGGACAGATGGAGAAACCTCGGCAATCATCCAAGTTCCTGCTCATGCAGCCTCAATCAGAAATTGAAGAGAAAGGAAGTATTATGATGAAATGGACATTAGGTGTGTGTGTGAGTTGTGTGTGT